GAGGGTTGACATGTCATGGGGTTGTTAACCAATGTCATAAAATAATATGTGTACTACTGTTTAATGAGAAACTATTTGTTCTGTTATCCTTCCCCTGAAGTACAATAAAAAATAAATTAAAATAAAAATAAGAATTAACCCATTCTGATCACCCGTAAGTAATGAGCTTTTAAAAACCACCTATAGGAGACCAACTGGTCAAAAATTGCTCTAAAGCAAAAATGAGGAGGTAAGGGGACAGGGAGACTAGAGTACTAGAAATGGTACAACCAGAATGGAATGAATGAGAATGATGACACATTGTGAATAATGTAACCAATATTAGTAAATAATTTATGTAGAACTTGTTAAATGGCAATCTAATTTGCTGTATAAACTTTCACCTTAAACACACTAAAATATTATTTAAAAGAAAAAGTACACACAAATATTAAAACTAAGGTTTGTAACTTTAAAAAAAAAAAGTGAATCCATTCTGATATATCTCGAGCTAACAGTACAAACAGGATTCTAAGAACTCCCAAATTCTGAAGCCTGGACACTTACAGTCAATACAAAAGATGTTTCCTATCATCCATACATGTAGGGGTGGGGTATGTGTGTGTGTGTGTGTGTGTGTGTGTGTGAGACAGAGACACACACACACATACATACATAGGCTCCTGCATGCTAATGAAATACTAGCAAAAATGACATGTCTTTAAAACAAGATAATGAACACATCTGGGGGAGTAGAGGGGGAACACATTTCAATATCATGTCATAACCACTAAGAGTTCCATAAATAAATGACACTTTGAGAAAAGGTACACAATGGCCTACCTAAATTGATAATATTTTGAGCCCAGAAACTAGGATCACAGTAAAACTGGATGGTGTTGTTGGTCGCTGGGGAAGCATCACACCTTGCTCGAAGGAGATGCCGTAACCGGTATGTAATCTAGAAGAAAGAAGAGACAACGAAGCGTCAGTATCTTTATCAGGCAAGTAACTTATGAAGTGCCTAGTAAGCACAGAAAAACGGTCTCCGGTATGTACACCAACACACAATAAACAGTCACATATAGGTTATAAAAAGTGGACATACAACGTAATTTCTCTTTCCAAAACAAAAATTTTGCCATATAGCTCAGCTGTACTGTTGAATACAAAACCTAAAAGTACCTTAAAGTGAGAGTTAGGTTGAAGTCAGTATTTTGAATTATTAATAAAATTTCACAGAAGCACCAACTCAAATATCTGTAAAATAAAAAATTTAATATATCTTGCCCTTTTATTTATTTTATCCTTTTAAAGGCAGGATTCAGAATTTAGATTAGGGGCTAATGGATGACAAGAGAATACAAATCAACCTCCTTGCTCAGGACACAGCAGTACGGACAGTACCCAGGCCTGCAGCTACGCTCCTCGGTCTCAGCTCCTCACGGCTGCTGTCCCTACCATCTCCTTCCAAACACCCAGCTTTGAACCTCAGATCATCACACCACGTCAGCCATCCACTGTCCACACGGTAATCGTCACAGGAACCCCGGCCATTCTACCTCAGTCCTTGAAGATTTGAGCTCCTAGCTCACTCTCACCATCGCCAACATTACTCCTGTCGTGATTCATGCTGATTTTAATTTCCATTCTTCTTTGAAGCTCACCTTCCCTTGTGCCCAGATACCAGTAGTCCTGCAGTCCCACTGGTCCTCCAAGACTTTGCTTTGACAAAGTTTCCCTGTCCTGCAATCTCATCTTACTTACCCTCTGTCCCTCAACTCCTCCTTGTTGTTGCCATCGAGTCGATTCCAACTCATGCGGACCCCACATGTGCAGAGTAGAACTGCTCCGTAGGGTTCTCACGGCTTTCAGAAGAAGACCGCCAGGCTTTACTGCCCAGGTGCCTTTAGATGGGTTCCAACTGTCAATCTTTCAGCAAGCAGTCGAGCACTTAACCATTTCAGGGTCAATCAGCATAATCATTTTTTTTGCTTATACCCTCAACTCTGCTTTCTCTCACATACCCAATTCCTTCCCTCCTCAAAACAAAACAAACAACCCTGGTAAAACCCGACTTCGGCCTGGATGTAACTGGACTGATAACGGGACTGCTCTCACTGCAAACTCATGACCACTCACCTCAGGTGGGCCCCGCAGGCTGACTGCCTGTCATA